TTTTATTGTTGAATTAGAGGGAGAGAGGGAGGGAAGGGTTTTTCCTTTTCTCCAGTAGTTGATCTATATTAACCTGCAGGGAACATCAATTTAGGGATTTAGGTAAAAAGAATGCAGTTTTGTGATTTGGCTTTCAGAGTCAATAATGCAGACCAGTGATGGTGCAGATGTTAGACTGCAGTATTGCAGGCTGACTCTGCCCACTGCCAAGAGTTCTATCTTGACCGACTCAAGGTTGACTCAACCTTCCATCCTTCTGAGGTCAGTAAAATGAGGATTCAGATTGTTGGGGGCAATATGCTGACATTTGTAAACAGCTTAGAGAGGGCTGTAAAGCACTATGAAGTGGTATATAAGTTTAAGTGCACATGCTATACAGCATGTGTTAAGTTCTTCAGGCAAGAAAGGAGAGTCTACTAGAGCATGTTGCAAAGATGGAGCAATTGCTGCCTATTTTATTAATAAAGAATTCAGCTTGTACTGAATAGCAAGTTATGGATAATCAGAAGTGTGACTGAATGTATCAAATTGGTATATTGATGGGTGGTAACCAATTTTAATAGTTTATCAGCTGCTTTTTTGTAGCATAACATGCTTTCTTTCAGAAAAAAAAATTGAAATAGGTTTTAAAGAATCTGCTATAAGGAAACATTAATGTCGCTTCATGGAACATTTACATCAAATTGGTCAGCTTTGCCATTTCAGCAAATACTGACATTTTCACAATCCATTCCCCCCACTGTGGGAACTTGATTATTCTCCCCATCATTGAGCATACAATAGTCTTTCTGTCAGCCCCCATCCATCTTGAATCAGATCTGGGGCTGCCACAAGGGAGGATGGGTAGATGTGGGGAATGAAAGTAAAGCGGGAGGGAGGATAGCCATAACAACATCCTTTTGCCAGAGCTCAAGGCTGAGTCGCTGGAGTTTGGAGGGCAGTGACTGGACTTGGCGGGAGTTCAGAAAGGAGATGGATTGGAGAGTGTGACTTGAGGGTCATCTGAAAAGGGGGCTGGGTGTAAGTTTAATATCGCAGGGGAAAACGTGGGAATTCAGATTCAGCTTTTCCCAGATGTGCCGATATGACTTCTATAATAAATTCTTACTTGGATGGACTTTGTCTCTGGGTGCCTAATTGAGATGGAGAGTTTTGTTGGAACGCTGACACTTTCTGCAGTTACCATATACAAAATCAATCTTCCACGAGTCATTTCTAATCCATTGTCCATAAGTTCCAATAAAAAAAAAAGTTCTGGTTTCTTTACTATATTTATCTTTAAAACCTTTTGCATGGTTATATGAATTGTATCCCCATCATTTTTTTTTTTTTTGCTTTCACACAATTCCATCATGCATGATAAAATGTCCCCTCACGTTTTTCACATTTCCAATGATGGTTTCAAAAAATATACCTTTATATATTTTTTGTTAATTTCTCTGGTGTACCTACTGTCCATTCTCTCCTAAGTATCCATCTGCATATACTATCCAAAATTAGTACTTCTTTGACTTGCTACCATTTGCTTAGTGACTCTTTGAAGTTTCCACAGACTTACCTGAAGGATACTTATGGTCTCAATTCAAAATTTTGACTGTTGCTGATCCTCCCATGTGGTCATGTGACCACACTTTAGATCAGGGGTGTCAAAATGGCGGCCTGCAGGCCGGATATGTCACATGCACGCCATGCCAACTCTAGCTTCACAAAGGGAAAAAAATCTTCACGATACATCACGTGATGGCAATGTGACGCACAGCAACTGGGCTGCATTTATGGTCATTTGCAGCATCCTGCAGTTACATGACCATATTTATGATGATTTTGCCTGAGAACCACAGTTACTTCCAGTTTTCAGGAAAACTAGCTCCATAGTGAACCACTGATTTGTTTAACAACCACAGCATTCACTTGGTGACCATGGTGGCCTCTTTATAGACTAGGCAGTCATTTAATGACCACCACAAAAATGGTTGTAAAATTGCTTTAAACTGTTTGACCTATATTTTTTTTCTACTTCAAATCTTATTACATGTTCATCATTTGTACATATTTCAGTGTTAAACTCTGTTTTGGGTTTTTCCATGCCAGCTATCTTTTTATCACTTTAAACCTTTCTTTTAATTGGCCACATGAAAGCCATTGAAAACTATGTCCTTCTACAGTTGTTTTCTTAACTTCATCTTAATTTTTCCATCTTCCTCTATAAGTAATACTCAACTTACACCTATTCATTTAGTGACCATTTGAAGTTACAATGGCAATGAAAAAATGACTTATGACTGTTTTTCATACTTAAGATCATTACAGTATCTCCATGATCCTATGGTCAAAATTTGGATGCTTGGCATTTTTATGACATTTGCAATCCCTGGGGCTATATGATCACCTTTTGCAACCTTCTGACAAGTAAAGCCAATGGCAAAACCGGATTCACTTAATTTACTTAACTATGGCAGTGATTCACTTAGCAACTCTGGCAAGAAAGGTCATAAAATGGGGCAGAACTCACTTAACAACTGAATTTTAGGCTCAGTTGTGATCATGCATCAAGGACTACCTATCTTAGCAAATGTTGATATGTCAGCCATTTCTCCCTATCTGTTGTTTCTCTTCTATAAAATGCTTGTCAGGACTCCGACATGCACCTCCATTCAAATCATAAGTCTCTAGCTATACTTCTTTTTAATTGTCAATGCTTCCTGTGCTGAGGTCAATAAAGGTATCTTTGAACAAAGCCTGGCCTTATATTTGTTCCATACTCTCAATATGGTACTTCTCAAAAATTGATTTTTTAAAATCTAATTAACTTAAACTTTGCAGTAGTGGCGAATATTTGTAGCTTGGGTGTAGGATGCGGTGAAGATTTATTCTCCTAGCTTGTAGGTTGGTTTCCAAACGTTTTGTTACCAGGCTAGGTAACATTTTCAGAGGAGTTTAGGGAATGTGCCAGTCTCGGTGTTCTTCTGTTTATAAGGGCTTCAGGGTGTGGGTGTGTCAACCGAGGGTCTTATGATAAGTCAGGGTTGAGTCATCAGTGAGTTTTGTGATGGGTCCAATTTAATATTTTGTTTATCCTTAGTTTTTGTGAATGGACTAAGTTGTCTACCCTTCAATAGTTGAGCAAGAGGAGTTTCAACCAGGATGATCTATAGAAGATTGCTTAGGGCTACATCTGGCCAATAAATGTAAAGATCGTTCTTATCTGATCTTTGATTTTAGTAACTTCTCTAGGATAACAGCATGGGATATTTTGAGTAGATGTTCTCTTGTTAATCCATATGCTATATGGAAATGATCCCATCCACATATCCAAGGGAATGAAACAAGAATATATTCTAGCACCATTGCTTTTTAATACATACTAAAATTAAGTGTCTGATTAAAACTCTCCAAAGTATTGATATCCAAGTGGCTTAACTAACTGCCATTTTGACTGATAAAGCCAGCTGTGCTATGCTGGCTGAGGAATTCTAGGGAGTTGAAGTCCACAAGTCTTAAAGTTGACAAGTTTGAGGACCTCTGGGTTATTGGTATTACATTTTGTATTATGGAAAGGATGTAAGTATTTTTCCATAACTTTACAACAGGTAAGAGTAAACATAATACAATTCTGTATGTAAACTTTGTTATTTTGCATGGCATATAGAATATTAACACTTATTTTGTTAATTTAAACTTGGAAAACATTTGTTAAAAATATGTGTAGTAAGTAGTTCTTACAGTGATTCCAACAATGATACAAATGGGTTTGAATTTGAAGATAAGTTCTGCTTCGGTTTTTGATTTAAAGTTTTTAAAAAATGACGTTTAATTTGTTTAAGGATTTAATAGTATTAGGGAAGCATTGCAATAGCATAGCAGAGCATAATTACATTTTAAAACTTGAAGGCATTTTTAATGGCATCTCATTCTAAAAGGTCATTTTATTTTCTTCATGCCAGTTTTTCCTGTTTTATTATTCCTGTTCCTCAATCTTAGTGATTTAAACATATAAGTGAATTGATGGAAATGTAGGTGCAGCAAAAATTTATTTAACTATATAATAGGACTACCGTATATAAACATCCTGGTCATTTACTGCAGCAAGAGAGGTTTCCAGCCATAACGGTCCCCATGCCACTAGAGCAGTGGTCTGCAACCTGCAGCCCTTTCGGCCCTTTGTTGTGGCTCCCTGTCGGCTGTTCCCACCCCTGGCTGGCCCCTCCCCTCCCTGTCACTCCTCACCTGGCCTGAGAAGGTAAGGGTGATGGCGGGGGATGGAGACTCGCCCCATATTGCAGAGCAGGAGGTGACTGGATGGGAGTGAGTGACGTCGAGTAGGCCATGCCCACCCAGTCACACCAGTTGTTAAATGATTGGCTCCTGGTGTTTTCTTTTCTGTGGGAAATGGGTCCAAATGGCTCTTTTGAGTGTTGAAGGTTGCAGACCCCCGCACTAGAGTATGATCTCTTCTGCTGAGAGTGTTGTGTCATGGCCGTTCCACTTAAAGCTCCACCACGCACGGGTTTCTCATGTGCAATTCATCTTCAGCTGTGCTAGACTGAGCGCTTCCACCGTGGACTGTAGAGTCACCTCTGCGTCCACAGATGAACTGCACAACAGCATGTCTTTTTTGAACCCAAAGGGCCACCATATATGTAGGATCCTAATTTGTTGAAAAGTTCCAGGAACATAACTGGATCTTTTTTACCTTTGTGTCTGAATTCATCTGATGATCACTGTTGCTTCAGCTGTTTCAAGCTAGACATTGCTGAATTGAAAGTTCCAGAGAAATGAGATACTTGAAAGATAGGGGCGCTAGAAAGCTGCAGTCCTTGTGTTGAGGATGCTAATATATAACAATATCCACATGTATTATTATTGAAGTCCCTTTTTACCATAATTTAGCAAGAAAAATCAGCATTTTGGGCTGACAGTTTCCCATAATCTTATACAATGTTTTGGACTGTTCTCTTCTTTCCTATCCTGAATATTTTCCCCTTATTTTAATATTTTAGATATTAATAGTTGGTGGGTCATTTGGACTCCGTGAATTTGCACAGGTTCGATATGATATTCAAAAGATTCGTGGCAAGGTAAGCAGAATTTGTCTCCTTATAAGATATAAGATTCGAGAATACCAGCCAACTTTTAAAGGGAAGAACAGTATTTACTTTCCAATAGATAGCTGAAATTTGGAAATTTTCATCCCACACAAAGTCCTTTCTATTATATTTTTCTTGCCCATTTTCAAAGCCCAAGAGAATAGTATATTGACAACAAAACCTATTCAGTCAGTCAGTCAGTCATCCAATTTGCACCCATATTTTTGCCCATAAAAGAAGTTATGAGAGTCTACATCTATTTTATTTTTATTTTCTACATTTATATACAGTTTTTCTGCCATTACATGCAAGGAAATTCAAGTCCTGTGCCAGCCAAGTACAAAACAGAAAGCTATGAGAATAAAGTCTGACTTTAATTCTATATTATAAACTTCCCGAGAGCAATTAATAGAACTCTGTAGGGCTTGCCTTGAAATAAATTGTCAGCATTCTACTAGCAGGGGAAAGGTAGAAGTGGTGATAAAACTGTTTATTTATTGGTTTATTTCCTTATTGGTTAATGTGACCCAGGGCAGTGTAAAAAAAATCATTAAACAAAAATATAAAGGAAAAGTAACACACACCAATACAGGAAGCTGAAGCAGTTAATTGTTGATGAGGACTAAAATAAATTAAAGTTCACCAATTAGCAACGATATTTATCCTGAGAAATAGCCTAGTCCAAACATCCTTTAGCCTTTCCAAACATCTGCAGGATTGGAGTCAACCGTGAGTAGGGAGGTTGAGAGGAGATCATTGCAAAAGGAAGGGGCTGCTATTGGGAAGGCACATACCTCTTGGGTCCCTCAAAGTGATATTGTTTCAGAAAAGGGATCAGGAATGGGCCTTCTCTGTTGGACCCTGTGGGATGGGAAGATACCATGATAAAATAAGGGTACTCATGACAGACAAAGCTTTTGGCATCAGGGAATTGCATGAATTGATCTGACTGTCAAGCCAAGTGTATGAATGCAGAGCAAGCAAATATAGCAATAGAAGTTGCAGTGTTGCTTCTTACGGAGGAGCAAATGCCTGGAGGCTGTTCTTGTATAGTCCCAGGTCTAGGATAGCTTGATTAGGGGTCCTGCTGCTGTCTCCTTGAAGGAGACATGGTGATGGTCTTTCTCTGCCCTCTGTAGCTTCTGACATATTTGAAGGCTAAGCACCCTGCCAGAATGTCAAGCTCTTATTATCTAAGATAGGTTTTTATCTTCTAGGGCTGTCAGAGGTAAGTGATTATTAGCTGATTTCTCAGGTTGATGGTTCTTATGGTCTTCCTTTCATAACAGCCTAAGAGTTTAACTAATGGTCTAAATATAGTAGTCACAGTATATAATATCAGGGTAAGGAGAAACATCTTAATGCATCCCATAATACATGATAATTAAGATGATTCTGGAGAATGAAGTCTAGTCATAATAAACACGGTTTGAATATTGCTTTGTACTTTACTTTAGCATGATTAAAAAAATAAAAAAAATAAAATTAAAAATAAAATAAATAAAATTGATAAATAAAATTGGAAAGTTTTAGACAATATAGCGAGCCATAAACTATGTTTTACAAACAGCAATATCTGAGTTCATTCTCTAAAATCTATCTGGTTACCCACCAAAATGAATGAATGAATAGATAAAGTTTCACTGGATATGTCAATATGCAGTTCCTGATCAGCGTGATGGACCTGGAATTGCTGTATATACACTATTATCGGGAAAGTAAAAAACACATCATTTCTAACAATATTGGGAAATAAGAAAGAACTGTTGGCAATGAATAGAGATGATAATTTATTCACAATTCATTATGAATATATAATGCATTCATAAATTTCTAGCAATTCCTCAGCATTTTATGTTCCTGTGAGTTAGCATCAAGTGTTCTTCTATAAATGCATGAATTTCAAATCTTTATAAGACACAATAGAGTAAATGCTGCTAAAATATATCATTCAAAAAGTTGAGTGCAGAGTGAATGTTGTAGCTATAAGTTATATTACATCTTCATAAGAAGCTGTACCTTTCTGTCTGATTATGTAGGCAAGTCATGTCTCTGATTTTCTCACATTCAAATGGAATATTACAGAGTGCATTATTAATACCTAAATCTCTTAATTAATTTTTTTAACATCAGGGCTAGCTATAGCTTGCTTTCACTGAAATTGTTCATTCCAGGGGGGGAAAAAAGCTATTTCCCTTTGATTTTTTTTCTTTCAAAACTAGAAATTGCTTATAATCCATCACTGAATATGCATCACTTTTTATTTCTATATAATATAATGTGAAATAACACAGAGGTGCTTGGATCTGCTGGCCATTAGTACACATGTAGGATTATAGGATTCAGAATCAGACTATTGGTAAGATTCCTGGACTTTTGACTGCTTCCTGTCTTTTCCAAAAGGTAGCATCTGTTCTTTATTCATGTACCCAAGAAGTATTTATTCCATTTAATTTTTTATTTTTAAAAAAGTAAAGGATTTGAGTGTTGCAATCTAATACATAATATTGGCTGGGTTAAACAGATATTATTATAAATACAAGCATTATTGAATTTGATTGAATGTTTCATACTCAAATTTAAAATAATGTTTCATAGTGCATGGGATCATGAACTTGGTCTGCAATTCTTTAAAGTGATAGGTCTTTTCCCAAGAGAATCATGTAAATGCTCGCTCCAACTCCAACATGGTTCTGGAAAAGAACACAGTTGTTTTAAACAGGTGCAGACAGGTGTTGCATTAGCACCCCAATCCCTTTCCATAAGGCTTTTATAGATTCAGATCTAAAGCATTATACAGATAGAATCCAACATCTTAAGATATTTGCAGTACTACCCTCTGAGTAACCAAGGTATTGGTTACAAAAACAAAATGGCGTTCAAAAACAACCCCACCACTATTGATATAAAAGAAACAAGAAAGGCCCTTATTTTATCTGTCTTATAGGCCAGAGTTCCCCAATCTTTGCAGCTTTGCAGACTGGTGGAGAGGAGGGGAGAGGAGATGGTTTCCTGCAGGCAGCCGACAAGCTTGCACACCCAGCTCCATTTGCGCAAGCTGTGGGCACGCATGGCTTCCACTCACGCAGGTGGATGTGCATGCGCACTCTCGCACGCTGCTTGCTCAAGTGGGAAGACACTCTTGCCTGCTGCTTTGCGGCCCAGTTCCAAAGGGCACATGGCCAAGGTGTGCGCCACAGCCCAGCGGTTAGGGACTCCTGTTATAAGGGCTTTAGAAGTGATTTAAACTTAAATATTTATAAAATTCTTCGGTTTGAAAAGCTCAAGGTAAATATTCAATTTACAGACTTCCCCTGTACTGTTGTAAAAGTTTACTAGATATCACTACAGAAGCTATTTTAGCTGATATTTAACAAATCTTGAACTGAGTCCTGATTTTATTACCTTTAACCATCAAGGAGAAATGAATCAATTGGATGAAAGATCTAATGCCTTTAATGAAACCATCAAGAACATTTCAGTTCATATATAAATCAAAAGACTGGGTTAAATTCCATAATTTATTTACACCCTACATAAATTAGATTTCCTAGCTGCTTTCAGAGAGGCGCCATTTTGAAACTAATTTACTACTGTGCGGATAGGTAAAATCTATTTGGTAGGTAATAGAATTTGATTGTAATGTCTCTCTGGACAGTCACAAAGAAGAATATCTTTGGGAATGTGTTGTTTCAATGTAGTCATTTTTTTTCACTTGGAGTTCCAAAGGTCTACATAGAAAGAAAAGTAAGAGTTATAGAATAAACTAATTTTAATCAGACTTAAAAACAAAAGTCAAATCTTAGCACATGCAAAGAAGAAATCATGATGACCTAAAAGTTCTGCCTACAAAGACACAGTATTAGATGCAAGTCCATGTTTGCATATTCAAAGTTAAATTTTCAGACAAGAATATTCTTTTTGAAGAAGGAAAGTTTTGAAGCATTGCAATGTAAGACATTTCCACTTTCGCACCCAAGCCTCAAGGACATTTTATTTCAAATCTTGCACTTTAGGCTATTTAAGTGGTTTGTAAAAGTACTGGTACAGCATATTAAACAGGCTTTATACAAAGGCACCTTCAGGAATTGTCTTTTAATATTTTAAACATAGGTGTCTTACTTTTCTTATTCCCTTGCCCCTTATTCTTCCATTATATTAGGATGAGTCAGCCAGCTATTCAGCAGCAGATTTACAGATCCAAAAGAAGAACTTCTGTACCAAGATGTGCATTCAAGTCAATTCGAGTCAAGTCTTTTCGACACAATTTAATTGGAGAGGTGGTCAATAAATGGTCTCAATATGATCTTTTATTTCCTCTGAATCAGAGAGCACTTTTACATTTTAAAAAAGTCCATTCAAGAGTGCACATCATTTAATTAACTATTTGACAAAGAGTTCTTCAGAATTCATAAGCTTGGCAGTATTTTGTCGTTCTTCAGATGGTCTCACAAAAGGTAGTGATTGCCTCAAGAGGTTTCTAAAATATTTTTCTATCATAGATGCAGGTAGTCCTCCACTTACAATTGAGCTCAAAATTTCTGATGCTAAGTGAGATATTTTATATAGATATTTTTTTCTGTTTAGTTGAAAAAAAACCTTCTCTTCTCTTCTCTTCTCTTCTCTT